TCTTCAAGCGTTAGCAGAGCTTTTAATGCACTTTGCACGCCATTTGTGTATCAGGAGATGGCAGCGTGCCTTTTTGAACCTGGGGATGCAAGAACCAACTCTATTGCAAAGCAATATGGTCGACATGTTCGCACTCTACGTCTAGTTGTTCATTTGAAGGAAGAAGGGGATCCGGATCAAACAATCCAAATACCTGAATTCATCTCCAACTGTCCCAACATTCGGGCAGTCTCGTTGTACTACACTCATTCCGGTATGCGTACCCATGAGGTAGAAGGCAACCTCAAGAGGATTGTGTCGAGCTTCATGCAGGGTAGAGAGCTTGAGCGAGTTGCTTTATACGCTCTGCGGCATTTTATTGGTCGACCAGTAATGATTTCAGCCGTCGATCAACAGATTGACGTGATTTCTTCATCTGGTATAGGTTGCACCATCAAGAAGCTCGACATCTCGACACCAGAAGCTACAAGAATCACGTATCATCGTCTATGTACTAACTTCCCCTTGATCAGGTACCTATCCTTACACGGCAACCTCAGAGTTTTTACCAGCTTGAGCCGAAAGAATGGTCCATTAGATTGGTCTTCCTTCCGGTATCTGACCAATTTGCGACTAGTATCATCAGTTCCAAATCTATTTACCTTCAGCCAACCGGTTCCCGAAATCATTGAATCTTGCACCTCCCTCCAACAGCTTTGGATATCTGACGGGGGGCGTTTTGACGAGATCTTTGTGATCCCTAGAGAACGAGGATGGAGTGCCAGTGAAAACCAATGGTGGAACCAGCGTAGACCATTGGAGCTTTTCCATTTGGAATGCTCGGTGGAAACAATCCTCTGGTACCTTGGTATCATTCCTGTTCACAAGATGAGTCTCATCTTCCTTGCAAAATTGAAACGCACTCCAGTCACGATAGATGATGAGATGTTTCCCCATATGCGAACACTGAGCGTGCGCTCGTCCCAAGAGGAGATTCTATATTGGTCTCGGGTGTGTGAAGCACGAGAAATTGGCTTCACCGTAGAAGAATAACGCGACTCCGATCCGTCTCTGAGATACTATGTAGTATTTTTGCACAAGT